CGTCTGTTACCCAGGAGCCGTGCCTCTCTGACTCATCACCGATTCCAGCTCATCCAGGAAAATGGTGGAGGGGGCATGATAGCGAGCAAGTTCAAATAACACCTGGTGGGAGAAAAGCAACCACATGTTCAAATTTGTATATTTAAAGTTCTGAGATGCTCCCAGAGATTAAAAGCTTAGAATGACTATAATATTAAGCATTTATGCTGCACTCTGTTGTATATTTCACTAATAACTTTATAATCATGACAATTATTTCTCCCTAGCACACCCCATGGGGTTGGATGGTCCAATTATTTCCATTTATCACTTGATAAAATTAGAGCCAGAGAGAGTCAGTGGTTAGCTCAAGGTTACTAATCATATATGGGAGAACTTAAAGTAATACTCAGCCCTCAGCTTCCAGACCGTTAGCTAACCCCGAGACCCTCTGTCAATATCATGTTCCACAGGGACACAAAAGCCTTGAAATACGTAAAATCCTTTGATAAGTTTCCCTAAGCCTTTTGGGATAATGACAAGGTTATTCTCAAAAGGAAGAATTGCAGGAAAAGGATAGAGTTCCAGTCATGGGTAACAGGACCAAAGAATTTTGCCTCTTTCTGCTCCCCAGATTATTCCACGGGGTCTCCATACCGCCCCGACACTGCCGTTCAGTAGGCTCAGCTACTTGAAGGCAATTCCCGATTGAGTAAAACGTTCCATTCCAGAATAAACTGTTATAGACTGAACAAGAATAGGAAAGCAAGCAGCAAAAGCACAGACATATAAAAACAAAATAAAGAGCTCTAAAGGGAGATATGGTGGTGATGAAAAGAGTATAAAAAGCTAGACCCTTTTTTTTTTAAACCCTGAAACTGTTCTCTTGAGCACCATATACAATTCTTCACTGGTTGATCAGAGAAAGCAGTAGAGATTTAGAAACGAGGTTCTTTAATAGGCAGAGGGGATTTATTCTCCATGTCACTTAGCACTAGCAAAGCATCACAAATAAGAAAGAAAGGGCTCAAAAAGGCCAGATGGTGGTTTTCATGAGTAGTAGCAGGTTGTCCCTTACAAGTCTCCTTTTCACCAAATGGGAAATTTCTCTCCTTTACCACTGCTTGCATTATGGTACATCCATATTCATGCTCAAGTATTTTCCTTTACAGAATCTAATTTCATTCAGCCAAGACAGTTGGCTCAGCCTAATGAACTGAGAGGACAGTGTCCATTCTGGGACACTCATCGCAAATGCCTTTTAGACATAATAGAAAGCACCTCATTAGAAGCAAGTAACTTGTCTTGTCACACACACACACACAAAAGCCCAAATATACCTGATATTAAGGATGAGTGTAACAGCAGCAATCTACTCAATGAAAAATGGAATATTAGGACTCTGTTAGAATCGTACACATTTTTAAGGAGCTCCCTAAGGTGCAGAGAGATGAAGGGGCAAGACAAGACCAAACATCCAGTTGGAAAGAGAACCATATCTGGAGCCTGTGTCTCCATGTTGATCACGCCACTGCTCTTTCCACTGCCAGAGAATATACAGAATCCTAGGTAAGTGCTCTGGAAGCATTACTTTAAAATTTTCAAAAGTACTTGGAGGAAGTTAAATCATATAGCTGGGGGTGGAGGGTGGATGTTGAAAGATGTAAGCACCAACAGGTGTGTGCATTTGCTAAAGAGACCACTCAAGTATTCAATAGCATCAACTCCTAAGAGGCATGAACATTAGGAAGGGAGGGAGGAATATAACCCAAGGGTTCCCTATAAATAACTCTTAATTGGAACAGAAAGAGAAGCAAATGGTAGGAACACTTCTTTGATTTAAGGGAAGGTCCCGAAGGGCTTTCTTTATCTGAAAGCTTCACAATAAGGAGCTTGACAGCATGACCAAGATTTTGCAGGTGATATTTTCAAGAGCTCAGAAAACAAAGTAGTTTCTTAAAGGATAGAAGATGAGATCCTTCAAGATTAGTAGAGGTTATCTATTTTTCTCTTGAATTATTTTTTTTAAATATCCAAAATAAAACCTCATTTCACAGGAAAAAGAAATACAAATTCTTCTAAACCTATGAAAAGATGTTCAAATTCATGCAGAATTAAAGCAATGCATATTTGAGCACTGAAATATTTCTGTCACTATCAGATTGGCAAAGATTTTAAAATTTGAGTTCTATACAGTGTTGGCCAGGATGCGGGAAAGCAAACACATTCACCATTGATGGGAGTGTAAGCTGGTGCCACCCTGCTGGCAGGCAGTTTTGCAATCATGATGTTCATTCCCTCTGGCCCAGCAATTCTACTTCAAAGAAATAGTCCTACGTGACTATATATGCAAAGTTGTGTGTGTATTCACACTGTTCACTGTAACTTTGTCGTAATAGCAAGAGACTGGAAACAACCTAAATGTCCATCAAGAAAAGACTGGTTAAATATGTTTTGGGACACACCCATGCTTTGAAATACTCATTCAGACACGTAAAAGGACATGTTCTGTCTGTAATAATGTGGAACAATACCCAAGTTATACTGTCAAGTGAGAAAAAAATACAAAGTACAGGGAAAAAAATGTTCCTAATTGTATTTAAAAAGGGAGATACAGATACAGTTATTGATGTTAATGCAGATGGAGATAAATGTTCCATAAGATTGCACCAGGAATTGTAGTGGTTGCCTCTGGGGTGAAGGCTCACAGGTCTATATACCATTTTGTACTTTTTTTTTTTTCCTCCAAAAAGACTAGCTACTTTTTAAATATAAAATGGAGGAATCATTTCTTCACTCTTAGAATTCTAACAAAAGAATATTTGAAGCAGAGGACAACTTTAAATAAAATGCTCACACAGAAGGGAGAGTTGTGGTTAAATGGCTTTTCTGGCTATTTGGCATTAAACAAGAAAATCAATTTAGTATTAATCTTTGTTAAGAATATTCACACAATATCTGAATGAATTCTTCTGTCCCGGTTAAGTGCTCTCCAGGTAAGTGCTGTCCAGGCAATATAGTGCAGTGTTTCTTTGAACACTTTGCTGTATCTTGTGTTCATAGCTCTAACCACTGTTTTCCACGATAGGAGAGGAATCTAAACTGATTCTAGGGGAATTTTGTAAGTTTTGTTTGTTCCTCAGCACACAGAAATGGAATGTTAAAAATAAAAAAAAATCTTCAGGCTGATAAGGATTTTAGTTAGTTGAATTTTAGCTGGAACCCACAAATTGAGGAGCAGCTAAATTCAGGTCCCATCTTTGGACCTGGAAATGAGTTAGACTTAAGATGAAGAACAAAGAAATAGAAGATGTCAATATAGATTTCCATGAAATACAATCTTAAAGAGGTGATAAGAGTTTATAAAAACATACACATTTGAAACAACTTGAGAACAATGATCAAAATAGTGAGTAATAGGTTACTTCAGGTAAATGAGTCCTTTAAAATATCTTATTATGCCTTCCAATTAAGCCATAATATTTTGAAAATGAGTCACCCAAGGAAATATAATTTAAGGATAAAATTTTAGATTAATTTCTTCTCATAAAAAATATAATTTTTTCACTTAGTAGTGATTACCTATCAGTCATTCCACAGAGTGCAATAGTTTAAAAGGATTTCTGAGAAGGACCCACCTTATATTAAGGCATAAATCATAAACAGGTGTTCTCAAAAGATAAAATTTTATATTATAAAATATACTATAGACGATGAATGAGATATTGTAAAGATGGAAACAATCTCTTAAGGAAAGAAAAAAAACCCTACATCCTGTAGGCACTGTGAAGGAAAGTTGCCGAGAGCATCTGAAAGAATAATTAAGTTTTAAATTTCTTAAAACTAGCATACAGTAGTAGTCTTTCAATAAATGTTAACTGAATATCCTGCAATGCTTAATAATAAATGCTTCTCTAGTGAAAAAAAAAAAATAGGCCACTTCAGAGACAGTTTTTTCCAGCTTCCATTCATAACTTGCATGAATCACAAAAGCACTGCCAGTCAAATTCCCAAAGGAAGGAAGATCATGTTTTGCTGATGGGAGCATAACTAATATCCACATATGATAGTCACTCCATCTCCCAGGCTTTTGGTAATCAAGATCCAGGGTAAATTCTAACATATAAATCACCTACAAACAAATAAGCTGTAACATCATTTTATACTACTGTATTCTGCTGGAACTTATTCTAAAAATCCAAAATCAAGAATGCCTGTATCTATGAAACAAACTGGTGATTACCAGAGAAGGGAAGGGTTGAGGGGATGGACAAAATAAGTGAAACAGACTAAGAGATACAAACTACAAACTTCTAGTTATAAAATAAATGTCACGGGGATATAATGTATAGCATAGGAAATATAGTCAACCATATTGTAGTAACTTTGTATGGAGACAGATGGTAACTAGACTTATTGTGGGGATCATTCGATAATGTGTATAAATGTCAAATCACTATGATGTAGACCTGAAACTAATAGGATATTGTATGTCAATTATACATGAAAAAAAAAATTCCTACCCGAACAAGTTTTTCTGAATCCCCTCTCCATTTGCTGACAATGGTAGATGCAGAAATGTTAAAGAAGGTTGTTTTGCATTCCGTGGCCACAGCTTTGGCCAGCAAAGTCTTTCCTGTACCTAGAGACACATGCGAATAAAGTATGAGCAGCACTTGAACTTCACTTCTTTGCTTACAGACAGAAATCAGTCTCACAAGCAAAAAAGGAGGAGGTTCCTCGGCACTTGTTTGCCCCAGTCCTGAGGCGAGGACAGGTGGGGCAACTCATCCTCTGCATACACGCTTAATACCAAGACTAAACCAGAAAAGCACCTTTACCTGGAGGGCCATACAGCAGTAGTCCTTTCCAGGGGGAAAGAATTCCTGTAAACAGCTGTGGGTACTATGGGAACAAGGAACAGCAATGAGGTTTGGTATCTGTGAGTCAGTCGCACCCTTAGCATAGGCAAGCTAGCGAAGCTGGAGTGAAACACAGCACAACGCTAAGATTCACATTTTCCTTTTTTTAAGGCTGGCTACTAATGCATATATCTTATTTATCCCAATTTTACTTTCACATTTGATAGGAATGCATGGCTTAATTTTTGTGACTTTTTAAAAGAGAAACATTTTTAAGGAGAAAAAAAAAAAAGGCATATGTATGTACTTTTCCTCTCCATTACGATGGAGATCAAGATCCAGGATAAATTTCTTACATGATAACATCATTTCCCCCGAGTTCTATATGCAGAGCATTTGGCAATCGTTTGAATGTTGTAAAGCGGGTATGAAACTTAAGAGAAACGCTAGAACCAACAAATAAAGGTGTATGTGAATAAAACACAAAGCTGTGGGGAAGTCTGATTTAGAAATTGGGAACATTCAGTGCCGAATGCATTATGAGACACTGGCTCCAAAACGGGACATGCATAATCTTCAATGAGTCTCTCCCATTAGTTCGAATTCAAACAATCTGGAGGGTGGGTAGGGTTGGTAGAGAACAACCATAAGGAAAGAGGATAGTATAACTGTACCTGGCTTTTAGTTCCTAGCTGATGCTAATGTCAAAATCTCTATGCCATCACGTACAGAGCTTATAATATCATGGAGATAACACATCCAGGGAGTTTCAATGAGATGTTCTATCCTTTCCATAAGTCTTGGACTATAGAGCCACTCAGAGGCATTGGTGAATGAACATCTACCAGTTCTGAACACTAGCGTATTTCTTACCCCCATGTCTGAACACAGGAAAAAAGGTGGAGAAACACAATCCACATTTATTGATTTTTGTCTCACTAGAATAGAAGCATCCAAAAATCAGGGGCGGCAAGGATTCAGTGGCAAAAAATAAATAGGTTATTCAACAAAACAAACTTGTAATCCTGACTGAAAATGGCCACGAATTCCTTCTAGCTCCTTCCATCAAGAGGCAGAGTATATTTCTCCACCACTTGAATCTGGACTTGACCTTGTAATTTCAGTCAATGGGATATTAGCAAATATAAGGAGTTTGAAAATATAAGACTAGGAAATATGAGGACTATAAGAGGAGACATGGGAAACGCTCATGGATTGAGACCTGGCCTTTCTTGCTTCTGTCCGTAAACTCTCCGCCACCACGTGGATAAGACTGGCCTTGCCTGCTGGAGGACGAGCGGCACGTGGAGAGAAGCCTCAGCTGTCCTGTTTATCCCAGCTTTCCCAGCCTCTCCATCTTTTCCAAACACTCTGGCTGAAGCCGCACACATGTGAATGAGGCCAGCCAATACCATGTGAAAAAGAGAGAAACCGGCCCAGCTGAGCCCAGCCCCCACTGCCTACCCACAGAATTGCAAACAAATAATTATTGTTTCAAAGACACTACATTTTGGGGTGGTCTGTCATACAGCTAAAGCTATGTGATACACTGACCTTCTCATCACCACATTTGTAAACCAAACATGGAGAGTCTTGTTTTTCTTTTTTCTTTTTTTTTCCTGTTGATTGAGCCACTCTGCACAAAGACTTGTCAGGAGTAAGTGATGACACAGCATGCTGTCTTTACTGGCCATTGCCCTAAAGGAGCTACCTAGTCTTTACAACCAGCCAAAAGCAAAGCTCCAGATGATGGGAGTTTGGGGGGAAGGAGGGATATATATGAAAACGAAGTAAGCAGCCCTCTCCTACAGAATATTTCTACTATAATATATTTTTTTGGAGGCAAGCTAATTTGAGCTGATCTATAGGAACTTACAAATCATATGTACTACAGAGTCTTAAATCTTAAATTTCCACTTAGAGCAGACACCTGCCTTGAACCCACATGTAACATGATTTCAAACTGTCTAGAATGTACTGGGCCTTGGTACTCCAGTATTGACGAAGTATTGTGACACAGGCAAAAAGTTAACTTGTGGACAGAAAACCATCCTGTGCCTCTCTCCCAGATGAGTGTATGACATACAACTTGTCCAGTGGATAATAAACAGAAAAGTCCCCCAAGAGGCTTCTCATCCTTACCCTTGTAGGATACACAACAGCTTCTTTGACTAACTGCTTGGCTGCATCGAGTCCAATAATGTCATTCCACTTTATGTTTGGATTATGGAGATAAATGTCCTGCAATGCACATTTGATCATTTTGTTAAAACTAATGTTTTCCTCCACAGCTGTAATAAACACAGGAGCTGCAGAATACTTGACTTACAATAGGACATAAAGTGCCGGTGATAAAATTTTTTCATGTTAGATATATGTATTTATGCACATTGTAATTTGGGATTGGTTCACCAAAGGGATGCCATAGGAATATTCAGTGATTTTCCCTGAAGAAGATATTGATAATAAAATATGGTACTTTTAGCGGGGGAAAAAAACTCCTAATGATAGACTATACCTGGCTTCAGTCAATAGCAAACCAGGCTGATTTACGACCGTAATCAAAGAAGGTACAGAATATGCCTTCAAATTACATTAGCTTTTACTGGGAAGCACAGTTCCTAGCCCACGCCTGGCCTCTCTCTTGCTCTTTGATCTTGCAAACACTTTTTTAATTTGTTGCATAAAAAAATTAATGCTCCTCTGAAACCAATTTCTCTTTTTCTCTAGTGATTGCTCCCTACTTCCATCAAGAACAATTGCTTCTACAAAATTCAAGGAAGCCAACAACCAAGCAAAAGTGAATTTTTCCCTCTTAGAGTAGAGCCCTGTAGCAACCATCTAGGGTAATCGATTAAGGTAGCTTTTACTGATAACTCATTTACAGTTTCCAAACTTCAATTTCACAAGACGCCTCAGAACAGGCACTCAGGGCCCTTTCTCAGTAGGAGCTGTTTGGGGCAAACAATATTTGGAGTATTACATCAAAACAAACAAACAAACAAACAAGAACTTCTTTCCAAAGTCATCCTGATGGCTACAGAACAATCTGGAAACTATTTTTTAAGTTATTTAATTTTTAAATAAGTGATACATGCATAAGCTCAAAAATACAAAAAATGTTTTAAACGCCGGTGAGATGTTATGCTCCCACTTCTGTCCTTCATCCTCCCAGCTCCCTTCATCACAGGTGACGGCTTTTATTAGAGACATTATTTCTGCAAGGGATTTTGGTCGTACATAATATTCATGATTCATTCCTGAGTGGGATGACAGCGAAAGGATTCCGTCTTCCAAGATCCTGGGAGAACCCACCCTGCCTTTAAAGCCTGGATCTGCATGGCCACCAGCCACTCGCGTTCTTCTTACTACCCTTTCACGCACAGTGGTTGTTCATCTGCCTTGGAATTCAAAGCATCCATAGATAATGGTAGTATTTCTTGCTCTCTTCTAAAGTTGACATGCGTTCCACATAGCAGTGTTTAATTTCCCAATAGGAAGTTTCTCCTTATAGCAATCAAAAGTTATTAGTCAGAATTCGACAGGGCTCCCGCATGAGGTGGTGAGCTCCCTCTCGCTGTAAGCATCCAAGCAGAGTCTGGATGATCGCCTCCCATGGTACTATAGAAAGGATTCCAGACGAAATCATCTCAGGCCACTTCCACTCTACAACTCTACCATCACTAGTCATGTCATTCTTTTGAGACTATTAATTTTTATGGCCATGAACAATATTTTTCTCTGCTTTCTTATGCATCCCGGTTACCATAGTCTGGCTTGACCTTGCATCCTCTCCCAGAGCTGGTCTCCCTATCTCCATTCCGTTGATATTCATCCACCACACTGTCATGAGAACAAGCTATCTAAAAACACATTTGATTATCCCATTCTTGATGGACACCCTTGAAAGATTCCCCACTTCCAGCAGGGAGCAGGTCCTGTTCACAGCGCCCTTCCTCAGGAAACCTGGCTCTCTCCAGCACTCTGCATGCCCTACTTGGCTTACAAGAAACACTGCACAAGTGATATAATTTCACAGATCGGTACTTTTGCCCAGAATGCCCCCTACCCTCTGTCTTCTACTCTTTTTCACGTGGCTATTTCCTGTGCATCCCCTTCCCTAACACTTTCCCGACACTTTGGCACAAAACATCCTTCCTTTATGCTCTCGAAATCTACCTTGCCGGTGGGACAAGAAACTCTTGTGGGCCAGGATTATGTGAATTAACTCATCTTTGGGTTTCCAGCCCCCAGCACATGCCCGACACATAATAGATGTGCAGTGAACAACCTCTGAACTGAATAGAGAAAGCTGGAGAACCTTGAATTACTTCGGTCGCTGTGCATTTTTTTGCTTTGTTTTAAACATCTGTCTGAGCCTGCCCAGGTTTCAGTCTTTTGTGAAATAAGAGATCACTGGAAATTGGAAAAGTCTTCTATAACTCAGGAATCTCTTCTATGCCCAAGGAACTTGTCCAAAATCACACAGCTAGAAGGAGGAGGATCTAGACATAAAATCCAGGCCAACCAACCGGTCCCAGAGCCTGTGTCATCAACTTTAAGACTTTCCTGTCTTTGGATTCTGCGGGCGGGGGGAAGGTGTGGCGGGTGAGCTGTGGGGGAGGGTAACCTTGAAAAATCAGTAGTCTAAATGGTAAGCTCTTTGCCGCTCACCTTGTTTTTCATGAAAATTTCTATTTATAAAATCAGACTCTTGACATCTTTATTTCTAGGCTTTGTTTAAACAAGATACAGACATGCTCTTTCCTTCTCTGGGAGGCTTTCTTTCCTTAACCCTTGGCTCTGTTCTAAAACCTTTTGCCTGTCCCTCTCTTTTGAAGTCTTTATCAGTTTTTTTCTTTTTTTTTTTTTTTTGGCCTCCACAGTGAGATGGTGGGCTTTTTATATTGTAATTTTATGATTCTATAATTTATTTATCATGCATTATTGTGCCTCTAAACAATATAAGTGCCTTTGCAAGTGGGGGCACTTTATAAATAAATGATCATATTTATTGTTATTAATAAAAGAAGCAGCCCACAATGCTCCAGGAGCCCCAGTCCGCCTCCGTAAATTCGTGAATTGAATATCAGATCTTACCCGGCTCACCACGGCTGCCAATTCTCGCATCTCACTGTTCATGCCAATAAATGCACTCAGAGGTTTCAGCAGTCGTTCCTGACAACGAGAACAGAAAGCCTCACATTATAGTATTGCTTCCTAACTTAAGAAGAGAAACCAGGCACAGATCTTGGTGACACAAATGGTGGCAGATTGCTATGACCTTGACCCTGATCTCGAGGTTTCTCTGGACCCAAAATTATGTTTCTGAAATTCGTATGGATTTTGGCGGTCTGCAAGATGAATGCCACATCTCAGCCACTTACTGAGGGGTCAGGGTTACAGTCGAAGCTGTTCAAGCCAAGTTCGCTGGTTGCTCCTTTGATAGCGTCTGTGAGCAGCCCTCGGATGTCAATGATTTGGCCCTGAAAGGGAGCAATGGTTATTTACACCATTAAACATGAAGGAAGACTCTGCTTAATAGCTCAGCTTTATTAAACCAAGACACATTTATGTACCCTGGTGTGTAGGGCGAACTTAAAGTTTTAAAAAGAGCCTGCACTAATAATAAATAAAGTGATTTCCCCAAGTCGGAGCACTCTAAGAAAAAAATAAGTCATAAATAAATTCTTTAGAATGAAGTTGGTTTGAATAAAAGTTCACAAGCATTTTTCAGTTCCTGACATACATCGTCTGCTCCATTACATGTCTATTTCCCCTGTATTGTCTCCTCCTTGTGAAACATGCTGCATGGAGAAAGAGCTCATTGGCACGAGAGTAATGATAGTTCCTACTTACTGACTATCATGGACTTTCACCACTCAGTAGAGTGCCTGGCAAAAAACAGATGTGCAAGATACCTTTTGAAGATTATTTTCAATTCTTATAACACTTCCACTAGCCAGGAGTGGTGTCCTAATTTCATAGATATAGAAGTAAAGCCAGATAAGCTATGTGCCCAGGGCCACGCAGCTAACAAGTGACTTCAGGCCAGGATTCAAACTCAGATATCTGTCTTCCATACTCCTTCCTGGTCTCCCCTATAGGCAGAAGGAAAAGGTAAGGATGCAACAAAATAACAATTGCTGTAGCCAGCATTTACTGAGTGTTTATTATGTGCTGGGCACTGTACTAAGGCCCTGCGTTCATTAGGACATTTAAAGTAACCCTATGATTATCTCCATTTTACAAATGAGAGAGAAATGCGGCTTGGAGAGATTAAACAATTTGCCCAAGGTTACATAGCTGGGAAGGTCTGAACCAGGGTTTGAACCTAGGCAGGCTGACTCCAAAGTCATTGCCTTTAAGAGCAACATGGCTTCTAAATTTGCAGTGGGGCTTGGAAACCCTGAACATAGGGGCCCTAACACGGCAATGAGAGACGCATTTTGGAGATTGGCCCCTGGACGTACACCCGCATTCAACTTATGAACATTTGAAATACAAGAGAGAAAGCCATCTACATTTTACCTTGTGCAATCCCATTTCTACTAGGAAGCGAATTTATAGCCAGACTCCTTCAAAGGTTTAGTGCTGGGTGAAATAGTCCCTTTCTTGTGACCTGATCAGAAACGTCCATTCACATGAACTTGAGATGTTCACGGGAGAAACTAATGCCACAAAATTGCTAGGCACAAAAGTGACTGAAAGCATGATGAAAATAGTGAAGCTGAACAGGGAAATGTCTCTCCATGCAAGGCACTGATTCGAATGGTATCGTCTCCAGAAATTATTCATATAATTGAGGCCCTTACAAGGAGCCAGTTCAGGCCAATGAGACAGAGCCCTCGATTTCCAGCTTCCCCTCCAAACACACACAATCCAAAGTTCAGTTTGGCTGAGAAGAGCTCAGCAGTTCTGGAGTTTGAGAACTTGACGAAAGAAAGGTGATCCTTAAAGAAATACAATCCTGGAAGTTTCAAGAGAAATGTGTTGGTGTTGAGGCTGCTTTTCATTTCCAAGTGACATGTTTTAACCTACCTTTTGGTCGTATCCTCCCAACTTGGTTTTTTTTTTCTGTTTGAGAAACTATTATTTACAAATCAGGACATGAGGTTCATAGTGAAAGGGGTAGACATATCTATCAGGAACAAGATCAAGTCTCTATCAACCGAGGTTTCATGGTTTACAGGAAATTATGTTCAAGCTGGAGCCATAATTCCAAGGAGAAAGGTGACACCACTAATTAACAACCACTGACAGTACAGGAAACAATAAGTATGAGGCCACAACTCCTTAAATAATGCAGAATAGTTACCAATGTTTATCATTTTAATCACAGAATTTTTAAGCTGGAAGGAACATTCAGCCATCTCTTCCAAATCCCTCAGTTTACACATGAGGAAACAGCTCAGCAGAGATGGGGCAGTTCACCTAGTCCAATTATCCAGAAAGAAGATTCAGAACAGAACCCCAGGGTTCTAATCCTTATCCAGTGCTCTCCCCAGTTCACCTAACAGCCATCCTTTGATCTTTACTTATTAACTTTCCTGTTTGACAAAAGTAACATTTTTTATTTTCATTTTTAAAAAGCAAAAGGAATTTCCCCTTTCACAATTAGGTTCATGAGTTCCACTTACTTTGTGTGGACGGACGTTTTCTCCTCCACTGCCTTTGTTGATTCCTGATATGCTTAAGCCAAAGTCCGAGCTCTCCGTGCTAGTGTTGTGGACAACCTCCTGAAGGGAGAGGAAGACCAGGAGAAGTCAGCTGTGGAAAGCGACTTACAGATGCCGATTGTTAACTGTCTATTCCGCCATGCCAAATCAAATGCTGAAGATCAGCTCTGACGAGGGGAAGCCCGTGTGCAAAGTGGCCATTTCTGTGCAGTCCCAACAAGATGAATTAACCATTGGCCTGTGCCACGTGGAAGGAGCTGGCCCTGGAAGCCATGGGCTCCGAGCAGTGGGAGAAACAGTTGTGCCTCGACCCATCCCCATTCTCTGGCTTGTCTTTTCTCCTGTGACCAGAGGTGTTTGTGGCCATGCGTGGCTGAGTTTGGAGAGGCAGCAGAGTCAACCGGCTCCTGTGGGATTTACCCTGATGCACCTCCACCTCCCTCCTGCCTGGGTCCGACAGCGGGGGCCAAACCATCCGGCCTCCCTGAGGGCGAGAGATTCCTTTTGACTAATTGAGTTTCGTGATTATTTCTTTCTATCCTCCCAGATATCTTTGACATTAGCTCTTTCCATTCTTTTCCATAACTTCTCTTGGTTTCTTTTCTTTTTTTTTTTTAAACCTCATATGTTTTGTCCTAAACTGAGAGGTTCTAGGCACAGATCTCCTAAGTCAGAAGCCATCGGTTTTATTCACCTGCCGAACTCTCTCGTCTTGCTTCCCATCCCCTTCCCCAGAAAGGGGTGGGGAAGTTCGGGGTGGGGACCAACCATGTGCACTTTGAAGAAAGCCAACAGTAGACGCGGAGTTCCAGCCACACCTGAGACTGACCCTGGCCTACTTTTAGAAACCCAGGGATGTGCTTTGGGACAGGAAGACCTGTTACCTCGAATGGGAGGACCGAACTCTGCAGCAACCAGGTCCTCCTGCTTTGACTGAGCCCAGTGTTATCCAGCCCTCAGACCAGGGGAAAGGCTGGGGAAGGGAGGTGTCCTGTTCAAATTAGGAAATATTAGGAAGACTAGGGATTTGCCCAGGGTTTTAATCCATTGAACTAGAAGAAAATCTACAATTTAATGAAATCACAGGAATTTAAAAAACATAAGTCCTCAAAAAAAAAAAAATGTGACTTTTTGTGGAGCTCTTTCTCAGCTGCCCACAATTTTACCAACTCCAAGCAAAGCTGCACCGACCTGTTTAGGATGCTCCTTATGGAGGGGTTTGGCTTCCTCTGGCTTCCCTGCCGTAGTTTTGGACCGTGGCCGCTGCTGACTGATCTTGGGAAGATTTTGACAACTGTTACTCATCGCCCTGGGGAAGGAAACAAAGACCTTGGAGGAAATTATTCTAACACTCAGTTTGGGGTAACTAGACAACTATGGAGCACACATAAAGAAGTTCTTGAAAGGTAGGCAGGTACACCACAATAGGGCCCTTCCTTCTGTACTATCCCCCCACCTCCCCACACCACCCTCCGCCCATTCCGGCCCTGACTTCTCCAGTCTCTACCCACTAGGTTCCTCCAAGACTGGGTTAGAGAGCCCACCTCCTCCCGGAGGCCCCAACTCACTCTTTTCATTTTTCCTTCACACTCCTTGGTTTCACCCTTCTGAAATTGCTTTATTTCCCCAAGAACATATTGCTTTACAAACATTCTTCCATCTTTTTCTTCCCACCTTTTTTTAAGAGCAGCACTCAGACCAGGGGCAAAGTGAGGAGGAGGAGGGCATCCTCTGTTCAAATTAATGAGCATTGAGAAGCCTAAGGATTTATCCATAGTTTTTATCCAGTGTGCTGGGTGTGTCCTGCCTACTTAAAACACCTCCCATCATGCTGCTTACAGTAAATGTCAAAAGGGGCTTATGAAAGGAAAGCAAGCTTACCTCATTTCTGTTGTCAAAGATCATTCATATTTGTAAAACAAATTTTCATCAGATATTATGTACTTCAGACAAAACAAATCAATGGGGCTAGAAGTCAGAATAGTGGCTAACTCTGATGGAGACGGTGGGGGTGGGGGTTGACTGGGAAGGGAGCCTACTGGTAGGCTACAAGTGGGGGTAGTTATGAATATATGTGCATTTGACTGTATATATGTAACATATCAATACAAAGGTAAAATAAATCTCTTTTTTACATCCTCATAATTAGACGAACGATTCAGTACTGGAATATTTTTAGATAGGGGATGAAATCAGAGAGAGGCAGGACTTGCTCATGGGAAGAACAAGAATGCCCACACTATCAGTTGTCTGGTTCTCTCCATTCTCTTGTTCTTACATGTGAGATGTATTTCTAGAAGATTCTCCCCCACCCCCATGTTCTAAGTGGTCTCAGAGAGCTGCCATTTCAACTCCTATTTTTTTGTAGGAAAGGAAAAGTTGTTCAACGTGTCTAATACAAATACATAGCAATTTGGCCAGCAAGACCACTCATGCTAACAGTACCACCAGTGTCCACACACGGCGACCCCAGCGTCGGGCCCATGGGTGAATGTCATGAGCAGTGGACAACTGCCAGTTTCTCAGGCGTCGGTTTTTCACCTGTAAGCGAGGAATCAGAATGTCTGTCCCGCAGGCCTTTTGTTGGCACAACAATGAAGTAGTTATGCAATGAGTACCAAGCATATTTTTCTAAATGCAAACCCTTATGAATAGTATTGATTTAAATGAAGTGAGGAGATATATATATATAGTTGAACTTGCCTCAACATCCTTGTGGGGCTGTCGGGGACCTGGGAGTCTATTTTCCCCACTGTGGTTTCCCATTGGAGGCAGTTGATTCACAGACTTGCTTTAATGTGAACAAAGACAAATGCTCTAATGTGCAAAGCGTTGTGATTCATTTTCAGTCAGCTGCAATGATTGTAAAAATCCTTTCTGACGTGGAACCAAATTCACTCCGCTTTAATTTTAGTCACCAGTCCTAGGTGTGCCCTGTGGAATTCTGCAGAGAAGGTCCAATTCCCCTTTAGAGAGCGAAGACTGCTACCGCATTGTTCTAGGGGCCACCCCACCCCAAGTCTTTTTGTTCTTCAAGCTAAACGTCCCTGGTAGTCCCAGTCATTCCTAAGGTCACCTGCCTTCCAGCTTCTTTTTCATCCTGGTCATCTTCCCTTTCTCCACTGCCTTTTGACTAGAAGAGAGTCACATGCTTGCTGGACACTATTCCCATTGACAAGGCCCGAGACCACACTAGCAATCACACTGCATTGTTGACTCACACCGCATCTGCCGTCAACTCAGGTTTCTAGGTCTCTGATTAATGCCCCAAAACTATGCCATCCTTGGGACAAATGGCAGTT